GTCTCCCAAAACAGTATAGACCAAGGCTCAGTGCTGTTATCCTTGCAATGGTGGGGTACACGAAGCACTAAAAACAGGGCTGCCAGTAACTGTGGCGTTTATTGTTTGCAAATAAATTCATATGTTGAGGATTGTGTAATTTTGGTTCATTCTATTGAATCATTAAGAAAGTAAAATATATTCCACAGGTTGGGACATTACAATATAGCTAATTCCCTGTGATGTTCATTATACAGCTTTTTGTGCTTATTTAAATTGAGGTGAATTTCTAAAATTCTAGAGGTGACTGTACTGTATTTCCTTGCCATAAGTAACATCTTCAAACGTAACGTTCCATTTTAGTATTTAGTAGTGAATTAGTTTAAATTTTTAATGCTACCTGCATGAAATACCCCACACTTGTATATATTAAATAAAGTTATTTTTTGCCCAGTATTGAATTTTACTTAAATATTTATTTTTTTCTGCTTGCTAACCCCCCTGTTATGATCTTCAAATTTGAAGTCTCAGTTCAAACATCTTCCCTTTGTGCTCTCTGTTGGACTTCTCTTTCCAGTTTCTGTTAGGTACAGTAGATTTTCGTTTTCTACATTTTCCTGTTTCTTTTACTTGTATTTCACATGCATAGGTACTGTCTGCATTTTTCACTCCTAAATCTGCCTTTTCCTGTGCCTGTACACTGGGGATTCTGCTACAACCGTCAGGCTCAGCATCTTTCTGAATTTGACTTTTTCTTATGAAGCTTTTTTCATCTAAGTGGAGATTCTGCTTTTGGTTTGAATGGTGCCTGGATAGCTGTGTCAACATAAATATTGTTATTTATGGACAAAGCCCATATTAAATGCCTGAATGGTTATACCTTTCTTTTAAAGTGTGCACAGTTTCTTGCACAGACAAGCTCTTTTTCAGCTTAAGTCTTTGTAAGGGAATGGAGAATGGGATATAACAAGAACTTTGTTATTCACAAGTTGGATATACAGTAAGTAAAACTGCAATTGCTGTGTGAAATGGTTTAAAATATTTTGAAAAGAAGGGAGTTGTATCATACAGTATAACTTGAACTAGTTTATGAGGAATGTGTATAGTAACCGGGTTAATTAAGAAAACCATAAATTGTGTGATATTCATAATATCCTTCTAGTTATTTTCAGCAACTGCTTCATTCTTACAGCATCTCAGTGAATCAGAGCCTGACCCGATAGGCACAGCTTACAAGGAGACACATTCTTCTGAACATTTCATGGTTAATTTGTATTGACCTGTTTAAACAGCCTTAGTCATTTGGCAAAGTACTATATTATTCTGTATTATACATAACATCTTTTCTAATATATTTTTTCTATATGTAATTTACAGTATATGAGGCATATGTTTTTATACTATATGTATATAGTATATACATATACATATACAGTGTATATACTGTATGTCATTTCATAAGACAAGGTTCCCCTGTTTCCTCACTAAAGCATTCAAAAGTATGATGTAAATATTTATGCACCTGAGGCATGCTGTATAAATGTATTAAATAGGCAGATAATTGCTGAGTAACAGGAACCACAAGATATCGAGTATACTGTCCTATATATAGGCCAAAGTAATGTTTCAGTAAGGGGGTGTTAAGAGTCAGACTCTCACATAAACTTGCTAAGGAAGCAAATAATGATGATTAATTATCTCTCCCTCTAAGGTCAGGCGATACTGAATGTTCATAGTATATGTGTTCTCTTCCTTTCTTCTTTCTTTTTAATAGCCAGGTCACTGTTGAATGCTTATTATTTCATACGGTGGTCTTAAAGGTTTATAGCGAAATTAATTAACCTTAGTAAGTTACAGTATTATTAGGACTCGTTTTGAGCATCAGTATCTTCCTCCATGTTTACTTGCCTCCTAGCCCAAAGATGAATACATACAATAGAGCAAAACACTGTCCAGTATTTCAACCCACCTGGGTAGAGCCATCAATCAGGGAAGTGCAAGTGTTGCTAAACTCAGCTTCCTCCCCAGTCACAACAGTATTGTGATTTATAGTCCAGTTTCATGCAAAATAAGTGTTAAAGGTCTGGACTTTCAAACAGTGGCAGGACCGCTCCCGAGCACAGGCGTACCAGGCGACTGCCTCGGGCCCCGAGGCCGGCAGGGGGCGCCCTCAACGTGCGACACAACCTATTTTTAATCGGCAAGTTCAAATGTGAGCGAAAAATTCCCTATAGCGGTTCTTTCTGTTGCTGCTGTGAATTATCAATAATGTATCCGAGGGGAAAAAAAGGACCAATCATAATCGAGTACATCATATGTTTCTGAAGCACAGAAAAGAAGAGCGGTCAAGCGATATCACAATAGGGGTACGATCAAGTCATAGTAATAATGTAATACTGTGTATTTTATTTGGTTTTGAATCCATGTAACTAGGGAACGGTAGACAAGCCACACTTTTAAGCTAGACACGTAGACAACTATAGATGTTTTACTTGGAAGATAACAAATTCACGTTTTCCTAACGGCTGCCCGGCCAAACAAAAACTTTCTCGTGGTTTCACCTGTATATCATTAAATGGGTCTGTTGTGAACCCAAACTGTCGCTCTTCGGGTTGCAGTCAGTCTCCCACTCACAGCGGCGGAGCAGAGAGGTAGGTTTTCAGAGCTCAAGATGATTCAAACATACCTGAGGTTAGCCCTGACACAAGTCCGTCTCTGTGGACTGGCCATCATGACCATCAATCAGGCAGCGTGTCGAGTACTATCGTATGAAGATGCACTTGCCTCCAGAAAATCTAGTCGAACTGATTGATAGAATGTTTTTTTTTATTAAAAAATCCCATCTGCTCAGCCTCTCTGATCCCACCTCCCTTGTTATTGTTATTGGGTGAACGTATTTCTTACTTACATATTACAAATTTGTGCTTCTTATTCTTGTGTGTAGCTTATTTATTATGTGTTCTTCAAAGCTAGTTAATAAAAGTTTTCAAGTGAAGTCATTTGTTGAATTGTTCTAATGAGTAAAATTAAAAGGTTGTGCTGGGAGATGATAATAAACTAGAGCCAGCCCTGTAGATATGTCAAAAGAAAACAATTAGAAATGTATCATTCCAGTGTTGCCAAAGAATGGATGTTCTACTTCTTTTCTTTTCGATGTGGTACAGAAAATGGTACAGACTGATACTCACAGGGTGAGACAGAAATAATTTCTGATGTATCCCTCTTCCACCCATCCCCTCACTACTCTTCTGCATGTGGTGTTTAAGGAATTATCATCTGCTTTAAAAAGAACCACAGATTAAATCAGCCTACCATCTTTAAGCGTGTAATATTTGCATAGTAAAGGAGAAATGACAGATACTTCAAAGTACCTGTCAAAATCAGAGTTGAGACTTGCAAGATTTGAAATAACAAAGCCTTCTGAGCTGAGACATTGACACAGAAAAATGAACTGCAAATCTGCCAGATAGTTACTGGCAAACAAGTTCTCTAAATTAATTTGCATTTTTTACCTCTAAATATTTAACTTGTGTTCCTGTTTTTAAGTGCATGTGATACTGCTTCAGCAAATAAGTTATTAACAATACCAGTCAGAACTATTTCTGCTGTTAATTGCTTCTAATTCAAACAGCGTTATTAAAAAAGAGCAAAGCTGTATCATGTTCTTGTCCTGGGATCTGCATGAGCAAAAATATCTCAGAAGACTGAATGGTGTAAAAAGTGGATTATGTTTTTGTTTTTCTTTGCTTTTCCCCAGAGGTTGTCAGGGTGTTTGTGTAATTTTGTTGTGACTCCAGGCTGTGTGAACAGTCAGAAAGATAAATCAAAGTTAAGAAGCCAGGCGAAATATAGAAAGCTGCCATCAAGAAATGATTGCTTCATTAGGTTGCTTATGTGAGCTTTGTCTGCAAAATATTTTTTTATTAGTTACCGAGGGTAGTACAGTATAAAAACTGTTAATGAAACAATGTGTTTTTCTCCGCGTTGTCCTACAGACGAGCTTATGAATGGGGAGTTTAGTTATTGAAAGAACAGATTTGTGGAAATGCTTCATGTTGGTAAAAACAGAGAAAAGCTGACAACTCTATTTAAAATGTATTTAATTAATTGTGCTAGAGCATAAACTCTTGATTCATCCGTTCTGTTGAAAACCACTCCTGCATCTGACGTAGGAGGTTTTCCACAGTGTGTTGTGATATTGTTAACCTGGAATACGTTTCTGAATGTGGTGTACAGTACAGTATATACTCATGTTTCAGCAAGTATGGTGGCGTTTCTAGTCAGCTTTCAGTGTGTAGCATATCCATCTAAATTTTACTTATGTGCATAAACCATATACAAAATGAGATTCTAGACATTTGTCCATCACTGCACCTGATTGAATTTCAGTGTTGTACAGTTAATGTTTAGTTTTGTAAATGCAGCTGAACAAAATTCATGGCACCACACTATGATGTGAAATGACTTATTTTTAACCAATGTACTGATTTTAGATAAGAACAAGTTCTGCAAGCATCTGAAAAATACAGATCTATTCTGTTTTATGGTACAGTCAGCCTTGGTTCTGTACTAAAGTGCAACAGACTTCCAGCTGTGTTATTAAGTGTTCATTTTTATTCAGAGCTTAGTGCATGATTCCCATTTCCTATCTTAGGACAGAAATAACTTACAGAGACAGATGCAGTGCACTAGAGAAGCCACCCACTCGTACATACTCACACAGAGACGCACACACATGCAGTCATTCACTAAAGCAAACATAAATGTTAAAAGAGCTTGAAAGGTAACGCTGAACTCAGGAGCGGCATGTGGAATTAACTGGCTGTTCATATGTCGATGACCTATTTTGTTTACAAGAGTCATAGCGAATACTAAGCAGAGCATTTCAGTGACTGCTACAGGGGTCTGTCTCACGTAGAGCACTGCTGAAGGCATTATGACAGGCTTTTAATTTTTTTTTAAGTGGCTCACTGTTTTTATTTCCGCAGGTAATGTGTTCCTCTTTGCTTTTCATTCCACAGAGCTTGGATAGCACCTTTCGGGATATCCTCAGCAGCTGTTAAATGACTCTGGCTCACCGTCGGTGGCAGCAATGAAAGGGTTATCGAGTAGCCGAAGCCATCACCACATGGTCACCTGTGACCCGTCCTATGACCCCCTGACCCACCATCCGGACCGGAAGCCGTACATGTTGAACCCCATGGACTCGCACCCCGCGGACCACCCCTACTACACCCAGAGGAACTCCTTCCAGTCCGAGTGCGCGGTGCCGTTCAACGACCAGCTTGCGAGCAGCACGTTCCCCAGGAGACACTACAGCTCCCACCACGAGCTGAAGGAGGAGTGCGCCGTGGTGCCGCAGGGCGCGGCCGGCAAGGGCAACCGCATCCCCACCACCCTGATCGACCAGTTCGAGCGGCAGCTGCCCATCACCCGCGACGGCTACCACACCCTCCAGTACAAGAGGACGGCGGTGGAGCACCGGAGCGACAGCCCCGGGAGGATCCGCCACCTGGTGCACTCCGTTCAGAAGCTGTTCACCAAGTCCCACTCCCTGGAGGGGCCCTCGAAGGGCAGCCTCAACGGCAGCAAGGCCAGCCCCGACGAGCCCCACGCGCCGAAACACGGCAAGCGCAGCAAGAGCAAAGACAGGTGTAAGCCGGAGATCAAGCCCCGGTCGAACATATCCGGCTGGTGGAGCTCGGACGACAACCTGGACAGCGACGTATGCCTTTACCACGCCCCCTCGGGCGTCATGACCATGGGCCGGTGTCCCGACCGGTCCGCCTCTCAGTACTTCCTGGAAGCCTACAACACAATCAGTGAACACACCCTTAAAACGTCCCGGAGCAATAACGATGTAAAATGTACGACCTGTGCGAGTATCCCCATAAACTTGGACGCACAGCTCATGAAGAAAAGTTCATGGTCGTCAACTCTTACGGTGAGCAGAGCACGTGAAGTCTACCAGAAGGCCTCTGTAAATGTAGATAAAACTGTAATGAAATCTGAGACTTGTCAGCGGGAGCGGGCATGTCAGTATTTGCAGGTATGCACCGTTTTTTTAAAATTTTTAAAGCTTTCATACCTAGAGGCCATCCAGTTTCATATGAACCTCAGAGCAAAGTAAGTGCAAAATCCAACAGCCTTACTTTCTTTCCAGGCACGCATCACACACAGTTTAATTTGCATTAGATCCATTACTGGGACTTAAAATGTCCCATTACAAAATGAGCATTAACCAATATGCATGTATGATTTTCGACATGCATCGGGAATGTATGCTATTGAGACAAGGAAACCTATTTCAAAGGCTTTCCTATCTTTTCTCATTCATGATCCCGACACCCAAATCTTCTGTGGAGGAAGAAAGACATACAAATTGTCATGTTAGCTGCTGGGGTGTAAGCTTTGCAGTGAATTTAGTAACGTAGTTCAATTCAGTTATTTTTATTTGTTAAGTAGTTGCCTAAAATATATCTCTCGTGTGCATATACTTTGTATCTAATTTGCAGTTCGTAGATATTCGGTTTTATATTGAGTACTTATAGTATTTTTTTAATAAAGCAACTGACATACTGCGAAAGAAAAGATAATTGAAGCAGTTGTACAAAGTAATAAAATATTTTTTAATTGCGCAGCTTTGAGAATTTTGAAAAGTGCACAAAGTTGTTTTATATTAGAGTATCAGCACTGGAGCATCTTTAAAAAAACTACTTAGTTCTCAGATGCTATGAAATAATTCGCTAACCTTACCAGTGACTGGACTATCACATCATGATAGTTATGTTTTGTAAAAAATGATCAATGAAAAAAAAAATTAAAGTAAGGGTAAGTTGAAAACATAATGCCACACAATTTATTGCGCAAATGTCAAATAATTCTGCATTTCTTATAGCCCTGACAGGATATACAGTTTATCATATGTACTGTATATCACATTAGAATATAATAAAGTTTACAAAGACAATGCAATTCAACCCAGTTAGCGATTAGCCTGTTTGATAGCTAATTCCTCAAAGAAGTTAGGGTTTCATCTTCAGCAACATGGCTGGATAGCTTGTTCCATACTGCAACAAGCCTTTGTTTAAAGAAGCGCCTTCTGTTCCGATTTAAAAGCAGTTCTAAATATTTTCCACCAGCGATCCCTGGTTCATGTTCAGTTCTTTAAGCCCATCAGATTAGTACATTATTTAAACACCAGAATATATCTGGTTGCCTGGCTCTGGATTGTCAAGATCAGCATCATATAATTCCAGTGCATTGTATGTTTCTAAAACAACTTCCCTCTATTTCCAATCTGTACTTTGAACTAAATCCTATAAAAAAAGCCTCTTTGTTGTTATCATAACATAGTCAGCAATTCATATGTTCTGTTTCTGTCTATATTACTGTTGTTGCTTGTTAAAAAAAAAACTCTTTAAGCTCAATTTCAGTTTTGTCATCATTTTTAAGGATAGGCGATAGTGTCCATTAGCAATTCTCCAGTCCCTGGGTGCGACTGTTGGAAGTGTTGCATCGGTAGCTTTTGAATAGTATTTCTTGTCCAATTGGCAGCATACCATAAAACCCTAAAGATTTATTAATCTTAGACATTCCTAGTATATTTTATACTTCTATGTTAATACTATTTAATACAGAACTGTGTTGCGCTGTCTCAGTCATGTTGTTGATATTCTCCCTACTGAACATCTGTGTGAAATGCTCATTTCATACATCAGACAGTTCCCATTCATTGTCCAGAAGTTATTGCCCTGGTTACATTTTACTTCATCATTCGTAGCATGTTCCTGCTTTTGCCACCCTAAAAAGATGTTTCGTTTATTTTAGCTTCCATCACATTATTCCTTTTCCTCATCTCCCTCATCTCATTCTTAATCCATATCCACGTTCCTTACCCGTGCTTGCAATTCATCATGCTCTTTAACTTGAACTGTATCCTGATGTTTCTAATAATGTTATGAAATGCTTTATTTTCCTTGATTGTTTTCCTAATGCATTTGTTGAAACATTTGAGAAATTGTCTTTTGTTGCTACTGTATAATCAATGCTATAGTCAGTCTTCAGATAGGTGTATTCTGTGCTGATTCAGTATCCATCATGTTCCATTCTACTTCTCTCAAGCTCTGTCCCTTTCCTTGAAAGTCTGCGTTTTCACTTCTGCTTAATTTAGACAATTTCCAAGTATACTTCAAAGTGCATAATAATCACAGTCCCCAAATGGTTCTCTCACTTCTGTTTGCCTCACTTTGTCTTAAATTTTTAAAAACCAACAAGATCAATACAAACTTCTCCTCTTGTAGGTGATCCAGCAAACGGGGTAAGAAAGCATTCGTTAACTATATCTACTGTATCTACCATTCTGCTGCTCACATTCCTGAAAGTCTTTCCCAATCTATGAGGGGAAAGTTGAAGTCTCCCATAAAAACCATGACTTACTTGACATTCTTAACTGCATTATGCAGTGACGAATTATAATTAATGTGTGCATTTGTTAGGCTGTAGCATCCTCCTAACATTGTGCTTTTAGAATGTTTTTTATTACTATGTGTATGTTATAAACATGTTTCAAGTTTGTTCTGTAGTTCAGCCAAACTCCAATTTAAGTCGCACTAGAGGCGTGAGGAGAGACTCCTTTGGCTGAGGTCACCTGGTCAGTGAGGATGAGGCTATCAGAATTTCCCTGTCTTTATGAGAGGCAGAAGTGGGCAAAATTAGTGTGTGCCCTCCTTGCAGAAAGTTTCATTTCAGCCGAACCTTAATTTAAAGGTGAAATAGAGGTGGGATGTGAAGTAATATGTTTTACTGTGGTAACTCCTCTGGCTGAGCAGGCCCATAACCTGCCAGTGAAGATGAGGCTGGCAGAACCCCCGAAAGGAGTGAGAGAGAAAATTGTGAAGTTAGACTAAGAATGGAATACGAGTGAAGATGCGGTTACCAGTGGAATGACTAAAAGGGAAATGAAGCCTGGGTAACGTTTCTGAGCCAGCAGGTGGAACTGGAGAATTCTGGTTGCGAGAGTCGCAAGAGCATCGTTTTGAGTGATGGTGGGGAAAGAGCTGCCGCAGTCTCTTGCAGTAAATGACAAGGAGCCCAGAGACGGAGGTGGGAGAGACCGTGAGAATCAGAGGTCGAGCTGGCTTCCAGGGGATAGTGTGAAACACGTGGGACAGGGAAGAGCAGGAGACAAGGCCTGAAGAAGATTGCAGGCGCCATAGCTCAGTGGGTAGGGTGCCTGAAGACACAAAAGGGGGGAAGAAAAGATATTGGAAGGGGAAAAGAGATAGCCATGCAGGGACTGCAGAAAAGTAGCGACCACCAGAAGGTCCACAGAGGAGCCTACTCGGGCAGCTGGTCCTGACCCTCACTACCTGGAGAAACACTGACACTAGCCAGCTCCCGGGCAGCACTGCTGAAACATCAGGGTCAACAGCACAGACCAGATAAGACCTCAGCTACACATAAACACAACACAAACTGGAATGTGACTGGGCCCTAAAAAGACAACACGCACTGGTCACGTGCCAGGAACAACAGTAAGGAGAAACAGGCCCTGAAGAAGAGCAAGCTCAGTGTCCACAGCCTGGCCATAGAAGCTGGGCGACACAGAGAGAGCAGACTGTCCAGAGAGGGCAGGCTGTGCTCCTGCTGCCTGCAGGGTCACGCACTTCCTGCTGTACGCTGGGATTAGGACACGGCCTTTCCTAGAATAACTCATCTAATCATAGAATTCCCGCATCTGCTACAGTCAGAATTGCTTCCAGTCCTACTGGGGGAAGAGGGAGGAAACTCAATAGAGCTGACAGCCCAGGATGTGATGGGCTGTCAGAGACCGAGGAGCAGAAAATGAGCCGGGGAATAATTATAATGTTTGTGTTGTAAATGTCTTGTTAATGTTTTTTTTTGCTTTGACAACACTGTCAACCCTTCGCTCATGCTAATAAAACGAATTGAAATTGAATGCCAGTGAAGTAGAGGGAGAAGGGCCAGCTCCAGAGGGTGGGATGGAGGGCAGCCCTCTGGGTGCCATTGCACCGGAGCCCTGAGGCGGAGTGATGTCGTTGGGTTAAGATAGATAGATAGGATTGCACACAACGCAAAATATACCAAATAAACCAGAATGTACAGTGCACAAAGAACGTATTGCACAGTATAGATATATTGCACAATCCCCAAGCATATTACACAGGCGTAAATATATATTACACAATTATAGATAAATTGCCCAACCCACTTCCATGTATTGCACACCAGTTGTAAACAAAACACCAATTGTAAACAGAGAATTCATGTTTAATCCCAAAACAGGTCAGTGCTGCCCCTGCCCAGAGACGCAGTGGATGAGTTGTAAAGTCTTATGGCAGTAAGAAAGAATGACCTTCTGTAGCGCTCCCTGTCACTGTCCCTGTTGGATCAGCCTATTCCTGAACGTGCTCTTCATTCCGACAAGAATGTCATAGAGAGGGTGGGTGACGTTGCCCATGATAGTCATTAGTTTGGACACCATTCTCCTCTCAGCCACTACCTCCTGAGGGTCTAAATCAGACCCAATGACAGAAATTGCTTTTTTGATTAGTTTGTTCAACCTGTTAGCATCCCCTGCTCTAATCCCAGAGCCCCAGCACACCACCGCGCAGAAAATGGCGCTCGCCCACAACCGACTGATTGTCGGTTGTGAGGCATCTTACTACTCACGTTGAAGGACCCGAGCCTCCTCAAGAAGTAAAGTCGGCTCTGGCCCTTCGTGAAGATGGCCTCAGTGTTGTTAGTCCATTCCAGTCTAGCGTCTGTGTGAGTCGGGGGGGGGTGTTCAGGGGCTGTAGAAGTTGTAGGGGTGAAGGCTGGAGAACAGAAGCAAGACTGACACCTGCTGGAGGAGCAGCGAGGAGTTGCAGAGAAGGAGACCTGCAAGACAGCCAGACAGTGAGAAGCCAGTGGGCAGAGGACTTGGAGGGAAGCAGATTGGAACTGGAGTTCTGGGAGAAATTTGGCTTCTCAGCCAGGCTGGAGTTCCATGTGCTTGCCAAGTTGGAGAGAGTACCGGGGTCT